CACAAAGAGATCATGCAGACATAGATACACGATGTCTGCATGATCTCCATCCAGGAGTTTTAGGCCATTTGACTGAATTGGAATACGAAGAGTTGTACAGCTGAACGTCCGAGTACATTTCCACATTGACGTACACACCCTCAAACTTCTGATCAGTGACAATACTTGGCGCACACGCCTGTGAGAAAAAGTTTGACCCGGTCTTTGTGTTGAGAAGGGGCGGGCAAAGCTGCTCTCAGAACAAAATAACCTGATTTTCGTCACACAGCTACATCAATAAGAGCCGATTTTGCTTCCGATGGAGTATGCAAGGGCCTCAAGTGTGTGATCTGACAGCTAGGACTTCTTATGGCTTTGTAGCAAACATTAATGGATCAATAGATTGGAGCAACACATCAGGGTACTCATTTAATTTGCCTTGAAAGTTGGAACTCAGACTTGTGAATGACAACATATTCAACTTTACCACAGGCCATTTGCAAGTTAGAAACTCAGAAGGATTTGCTAATTGTTATGCTCAGCAGCTAACAGCTGTAAGCAACAATACAAGTCAATAACAGTGGGTTTATCTGCTTTTTAATAATTTAAACACTTTAGCAAAACATTCACTAATAGTGGTTGTACAGTTTTATGTCTGTGGCTAGATTACTGCGATACAAACTGACACAAGTGAAAATGTATTGTTTCAGCTTTCACATCCTTTCAAGTGTAACATCGTATACTTATTGGATTTGGACTTACTGGTTGAGGCTGGTCAGGACTTTTTCACTTTCTGAATCCATTGTTCAACTTTGTGTTTTAATTAAATTTTCCAACATGGAACTTGGAAATTTCAAGTTATGAGTAAAATGGAAGGCACCATTATGTCCCGCCCCTTTTTGGGTGAAAACAATCTTTCCACTTTGAATGACGGTCAATCAGTTCTCCGGTACTTGCTAATAAAATAGTGTTAAATATGATTACAATAAAACTTTTATGCTTTATGGTGCCCAAATCATGGTCTGTTAGTCAAACAGTTATATCATGACAAGCAAAGTTGAAATAAAAATAATTCTTAAATGTAAACGTGTTTATCAAAGTGGACAAACGATACCACCCACTGGTCTGATGTGTTCAATATGGTAGTTAGAATTTCTTATACTTATGTGCTCCTTTAATATTTTTCTTTCTTTGTTTGTTTCTCCATTAAAGTTACAGTAAACAAATTACATTGTTGTTGTACAACATGCTAACTTGTGTCCTGAGCGGTGGGTTCAGTTGTACAGGAAGTGTTTAGAGCTTTTACCTTAAAAACAAACTAACGATGCAACAGTTTAAAAATCCTCTAAAACAAGCACAATCCCACTTTTGCAAAGAATAATAAGTTGTGCTGCTGCTCCATTTTTTTCATCAACTTTACACACGATGAGGATGATTTTAAATTCTGTGCTGGATTTTAGAGAAAGCTGATTTCTGGACAGTAATATAAATGATATTTGTCAGTAAGGCCTGCCACGGCACTGTATGTAACATTGTTGGATCAAATCAAAAGTTTAAAGAAAGTTTATAAAGCAATACAGTAAAACAAAGTTGAAATCGTCCAGCCTGGATGTGACATATGTGGAAATGCCCTCCATCTGTCCATGTTGTGAGCATGAGAACTTGTAAAATAGTGAGGTGCCAACTTCTGTTTTGGTGTGTAGCTGCATCTAGGTGTAAGAAAGGTTTTTTTCGAAAACTGGCTTGCCACGTCAAAATATAAGATGGCTGCCATAGACTGTATATATGTAAACTGACCACACCTATCATTTGAAGAAACTATGCTTTCTAGTTTTTAGGACTGGGGTGGCCGAAGTTTAATTTGTGGTGACCAAGGCCACCACTGGCCACCCCCTGGCTTTGCCATTGCCTCTAGTGGTGAAAAAATTGCTCCCTCTATTCACCAGGATCCATCACTCTGCATCATTCTTGGACATGCAAACAAATACCACCCCTCCTCTTCTCCACAGTGTAACTCCTACCACTTGAACGTCTTGCACCAAAAACATTAAGGTTTACTTACCTTTCCTGTTTGATTCCAGTCCAGAAAAAACACTCAGCGATGGGGGACATCTTGTCAGCATTACTTTGGGATAGTGTGTTACAAATTTTACTGCTATTCAGTCAGTGAAAGTGTGCTGTTTCAAACATTGTTTATTATGAGAATATTAGAGCTTAAAAACTAAACATGCCACAGAGAATTATTTTTTACAGCAGCATAAGCAACCAGTTTAATACCTTGCAGAGTAAGAATATATTTAGCTAGTCACTAGTAAGGATTTTAGGGCCAAAACAAAAAACTGGAATACGTTTTAAAAGTGTGACGCTACTGGACATCCAGACCTGTATGACTCCAGAATAACACCACCAAGATCAGTCAACACAGAACAGTGAGATATTATTTGTAGATGAGATGTTTGACAAGAAAAAATATTTTTTTCATTAACATAAAGCTTGTGCTTTTAAGATCTTCATTGATTAATTTAAAATAATATTTATTTGTAACTTGCAACATGATTTTGGATGTTTTGTGTGTAAATGGAGCAGTCAGGGTCGAGACATGCAGGTGTGTCTGTGGGATCTGAGAGAAGGTGGCGGTGAGCTGCTGGACTCTGTGTGGACGGGCAGCGTTGGATTCTGTCAGTGCTCCTTACTGGAGACGAGCTCAACAAACCACCTGCTGGCCTTTGCTGGACAACAGACAGAGGAGGTAAGATGGAGAGTATATTTATAAAACCTTTCAGTTTTTTTCTTCTACCAAAGCATGGAGAAGCCAGTCAAATCGTTTGCAACTTAAACTTTATTTAAATATCAAATAATATAAAGCTCACTTTGCAATATAAACTTCTTCTTTCAGCTTTTTCCTCTTCAGGGGTCACCTTCAAGTCATCCTCCTCCATCTCTGTCTTCTGCATCCTCTGTCCTCACTCCATCTACTTCCATGTGCTCTCTGTAACTGCATCCATATATCTCCTCTTTGTCTTTTTCCTGACAGCTGCATTTCTAACATCCTTCTACCAGTATACCCACTGTCCCTCCTCTGGACATGTACAAACCATCCCAGTCTGGCCTCTCTAACTTTATCTCCCAGGTGTTCAACCTGTACTGTACCTCTGATGATCTCATTCCTAATCTTATCCATACTTGTCACTCCTAAGGAGAACCTCAGCATGTTCATTTCTGTCACTTCCAGTTTCAAGTGCATACCTCCACCTCTCCAAGTTCTCTTCCACCTGTTCCGTGTTCTCACCACAGATCACAATGTCATCTGCAAACATCATAGTCCACGGGGATTCCTGCCTGACCTCGTCTGTTAGTCGGTCCATCACCAGCTCAAACAAGAAGGGGCCATCTATCCATCCATTTTCTTCGGCTTATCCGGGGTCGGGTCGCGGGGGTAGCAGCTTAAGTAGGGAGGCCCAGACTTCCCTCTCCCCATCCACTTGGGCCAGCTCCTCCAGGGGAATCCCGAGGCGTTCCCAGGCCAGCCGAGAAAGATAGTCCCTCCAGCGTGTCCTGGGTCTTCCTCTGGGTCTCCTCCCAGTGGGATGTGTCCAGAACACCTCACCAGGGAGGCGTCCAGGAGGCATCCTAACCAGATGCCCGAGCCACCTCAACTGGCTCCTCTCGACATGGAGAAGCAGCAGCTCTACTCTGAGTCCCTCCCGGATGATCGAGCTTCTCACCCTATCTCTAAGGGAGAGCCCAGACAACCTGCGGAGAAAACTCATTTCGGCCGCTTGTATCCGAGATCTCGTTCTTTCGGTCACAACCCAAAGCTCATGACCATAGATGAGGGTAGGAACGTAGATCGATCGGTAAATTGAGAGCTTCGCCTTTTGACTCAGCTCTCTCTTTACCTCGACAGACATGTACAGCGTCCGCTTCACTGCAGACGCCGCACCTATCCGCCTATCGATCTCACATTCCATTTTCCCTCATTCGTGAACAAGACCCCAAGATACTTGAACTCCTCCACTTGGGGCAGGACCTCCTCCCTGACCCGGAAAGGGCACTCTACCCTTTTCCAGCTCAAGACCATGGCCTCGGATTTGGAGGAACTGATCTTCATACCGGCTGTTTTGCACTTGGCTGCGAACCGCTCCAGTGAAAGCTGTAGATCACGATCTGATGAAGCCAATAGGACTACATCATCTGCAAAAAGCAGAGACACAATCCTAAGGCCACCAAAACGGATCCTCTCAACACCTTGGCTGCGCCTAGAAATTCTGTCCATAAAAGTTCTGAACAGAATCGGTGACAAAGGGCAACCTTGGCGGAGTCCAACTCTCACCGGGAACAAGCCCGACTTACTGCCGGCAATGCGGACCAGGCTCTGATACCAGTCATACAGGGACCTAACAGCCCGTATCAAAGGGCCCGGTACCCCATACTCCCAGAGTACCCCCCACAGGGTTCCTCGAGGGACGCAGTCGAACGCCTTCTCCAAGTCCACAAAGCACATGTAGACCGGTTGGGCAAACTCCCACGCACCCTCCAGGACCCTGCTGAGAGTGTAGAGCTGGTCCAGTGTTCTACAACCAGGACGAAAACCGCACTGCTCCTCCTGAATCCGAGGTTCGACTATCCGACGGCCCCTCCTCTCCAGAACCCCCAAATAGACCTTACCAGGGAGGCTTAAGAGCGTGATCCCCCTGTAGTTGGAACACACTCTACGGTCCCCCTTTTTGAATAGGGGGACCACCACCCCGGTCTGCCAATCCAGGGGAACTTCCCCCAATGTCCACGCAATATTGCAGAGTCGCGTAAGCCGACACAACCCTACAACATCCAGAGCCTTAAGGAACTCCGGGCGAATCTCATCCACCCCTGGGGCCCTGCCACCAAGGAGTTTTTTAACCACCTCAGTGACCTCAGCACCAGAGATTGGAGGGCCCAACCCAGAGTCTCCAGGCTCCGCTTCCTCAGTGGAAGACATGCCGGTGGGATTGCGGAGGTCTTCAAAGTATTCTGCCCACCAACCCACGACAAGGAGGGGCTCAGAGCTGAAATACTGAATACTCTCTATCACTTCATCCACATCCTTCCAAAATGTATTTTTCTCCTCCACATCACATCCAACCTGTGAAGCATAACTACTGACAATATTTAGCATCAAACCTTCTACTTCTACGTTCTACTTTTTTTTTTTTACACATCACCCTATCTGACACTCTACCTCTACTATATTTGTTGCCAACTCCTCCCTCAGGACCACCCCTACTCCATTTCTCTTTCTATCCACACCATGGTGAAACAGTTTGAACCCTGCTCCAATGCTGTCAGCCTTGCTGCCCTTCCACTTGGTCTCTTGGACACAAAACATCTACCTTCCTTCTCTGCATCATGTCAGCCAGCTCTCTACCTTTGCCTGTCATTGTCCCCACACTTAAGAGTTGCAAACCTCAGTCCTACATTCTTGACTTTCCTCTTCTCCGGCTGTCTCCTGACACGTTTCCCTCCTCGTGGTCTTCGACTAACTCTGCACGACTCACTTTGCAATATAATTTTTTATTTAAAAGATGTCACTGCTGTTTTCGTCAACCTTGATTTTTTTAAAGAGGATATTTATTGATGGCTCAAGTCTTAAAACATTTTTTATCTGTTAGAAATTATCCACAAACCCTCCAGATCAAAGTGCTCACTGGGAGATTTAGTTCTGTGTTTAGCATAAGTTGCAGGTAGACAGAAAAAAATAACTAAGATTAAAATCTATTTAAAAAAAAAGTGTATAATCAGACCTCTTTGTACTAAACTTTTTTATCGACTCAGAGTTTGTGGAAAAACTGTTTCACAGCAAGAGTTTCTTCTTACTCCAAATGTTACAAAATGACTGTAATCTTTGCTTCACTAAAGTTATGAATCCAGTCAACAATTGTCAGGGAATTTCTCCACAGTTAATGTGATACATGATCATGTAGTTTTCAGGCATGAACTGTCAAACACTAATCAGAACAGCTTAATTAATAAACCAGAGTGCACGTCGGCAGTCTCTGTGGAAGAGCAGGAGCTGAACACAGACTTCATGTCAGTATATTCTGACCATGGTTGCTAACGTACCATTTATTAAAAGCTTTTGTCTAAAACGCCTAATTGTCCTGGGAAAGCCTAAAAAAACAAGTTTGATTGTGCCTTTCAGATGGTAATTAATGAACATGTTCCTGTGTCTTAATCTATATTACCTGATGAAATCATCTGAGTGCAAGTTTACATTTCTGAACCACTGGCAGGTGCTGGCGTCCTGACTGCGCTGCAGTGAAGTCACACTTTGGTCTGTCTTGTATTTAACTCGCAACACCCTACAGCTTGTATGGTTTTGTGTGGACCCGGTGTCTGAGCGGTGAATTTGGATGGGGAGAAGGCAGCCAAGTATTCAGCCATCTTTTATTGCCTCCAGATTCATGTTACGTGCTTTGCTGCAGAGGAGCCACACTTGAAAGGGACGGAGCGGTCACCTGATCCAGTCAAACGTGCCTCTGCTAACCCCAGCCAAGCTAGCCAGGCATCAGGGCGCCTGTGGCTCCCAGCACCTCAATAATGCCATTGTCCCAACAGACACAGACAGAGGCACACCTACGTAGCCATAAAAGGCAGACCAAAACAGACTGCAGCCGATTTTGTCATCTGGGCTCTCCACCTCAATTCCTCAGACATAACGGGCCAAAACAGATGCTTATCATGCATCTGCAAGTAAAACACCCACATTAACAAATTCCCTCATGAAACAATATGTACAGTGAGCACATGCCACAGAGCATGCACAATTGTGTGATTTAGCACAGTGGGCTAAAAACGGCTCACTGTTTAGAGATGAATGAAAGCAGAGCATAGTTTCCTTGTAGAGTTTTCTTCTGTTTACTGCTTGCAGTGAGATTCCTGCTGTGGTAAGAACATTAATTAATAGTGTGAGTGTTTTATTTATGGGCAGTTTGATGCCACACAAGAACAGAGATCACCTGGGGCGCAGAGGAGTTCTTAAATGCTCTCTTTGTCAGGCATGCAGAAGTAAACATGCAGGACAGATGTGGCCTAGTGATAAAATACGGATCACTACCTTAAAGGGCTGTTTAATCTGGGGCCTAATGAGGATGAATATACGAATCATCAGCGCAGAGGAAGTCGAAGGAATTAGTTTTGGTAGTAATGTGGGTGTGTGGACGCACAGAGGCACTTGCACTTTATCATTAGCTCCATTAGTAGCTGTGGTTTTATCAGAATCGCTGCCAATGTGTGCAGGAAAACACCACTCATGACGCAAGGTCAGGCTTTAGTGGGATTTATTGTGGACGGTTTGGCAGCTGCCCTGCACTGATGGATAATACTGCTCTGAGGGCTCCGTGTACTCAGATCCACCAAGGGTTTGGAGTAATCAGAGCTTCAGGTCGCAGCGCTGTTTGAATCCAGAGAACAGGCAGGTCATGACTTGGCAGTCACATTGTAATTAAAGAACACACCCACAAGTTTAATTTAGGTAAAATATTAAAATGTAAGTTTCTCAAAGTCATGAAAACAACTAGAGCAAAAATGCATCATAAGTTTACTGGGAGATTTAAAACAAATATACTTTATAGGTTGTTACTGCATTAGGAATAATTTGTCTGAACACTTTGTTTTTTTATTGTATTATGTGCCAAGTTTAGTATCTGGAATACTACAAGATAAATAAAATGGTCACTGACATTTGTGCAGACAGACACTTCCTTTAGATTTCTGTGGACAAGGGTTTTTTTTCCAAAGGGCCACAACCAGAACTGGACCTGTTGCAGAGTGCTGGACCAGCAGGCTAAACTCAGTTCTGCTGAATATCAGTTTTCTAATTGGCTATAAATAAGATTTCCATTAGCTGCTTTAAATAAAAAATGCAATTTGGCAATTAAAGTCAGTGATACTGAGAATTTACAATTTATCTATTTAATATAAATAATAAATTTTTGCAAAATGTTTGTGAAACGGTTTAAAAAAAAAAAAAGAACAATTTACAAGAAAGGGGTGAGACCAGCTATGTTGTATGGTCTGGAGACAGAGACACGGACAAAAAGACAGGAGACAGAACTAGAAGTGACAGAAATGAAGATGCTGAGGTTCTCCTTAGGAGTGACAAGGATGGATAAGATTAGGAATGAGATCATCAGAGGTACAGAACTGGGAGATAAAGTTAGAGAGACCAGACTGAGATGGTCTGGACATGTCCAGAGGAGGGACAGTGGGTATACTGGTAGAAGGTTGTTAGAAATGCAGCTGCCAGGAAGAAGACAAAGAGGAGATAAATGGATGCAGTTAGAGAGGACATGGAGGTAGTTGGAGTGAGGACAGAGGATGAAGAGGACAGAGTGAGGTGGAGGAGGATGACTCACTGTGGAGACCCCTGAAGAGAGAAAAGTTGAAAGAAGTTTGTGGAAAAAAATGTGAATGTATTTTGTAGTATTTAAACATCAGCATCCAATTACGAACATAAAAAGCTGTTTTCTTTCCCAGTGAAATTACTGAACGTTGTTGAGCTTTAACAAGAACACTGAATTCTTGTTTCACCCCTGAGGTAGATGTGAAGGACAGCTGCCAGCTGATCGTCAGTGAGAAGATCTGTCTCTGGATTAGTTGTCTTTATGTGTGGACTGTTATCCTGTCTTTTTATCTCAGATCAAATGAAAGTCCTCCAAACACTCTTGACAACTCCCCTCTCAGAGAGCAGCTTACCGTTTTGATCTGATGTCTTTACTCCTCTCCTGGATGTAAATCTTTTACAAAGACCTTGTTGCTTTTTACAGCTCAGACAACAAAGCTTCTCATGCTGCTCTATATTTTTCTATTTATCTGATGTGCTGATTTAATTTATTTCAGTTTTACACAAACTGAGCACACTGGCTTCATTAATTAAAAACATAGAAGTCCATGTCTTTTTAAAAACTCTACACTCTCTTTCAGTCCATTTTGTTTTATAGTTTTACCTTGTGCTAATATAACAGTAACCCTTAAGTTCTCAGAAACTGCAACCTGTGAAAAGCGTGTGCACCCACAGGAACCTGCAGATTACAACACCCACTTGCCTTCAAAATAAAAGCTTTCACTGATCTAATGTGAGCTGGATGTGACTTACAGGTAATAAGATGCTCAGGTGCGCCGTCCATTTATCCTCCAACCACAACGAAGGTGGCACAGAAGTACTTACACAGTGAAACATCAGCATTAGTGCTGGTGTTGCTCGATAGCTGGAGGATCTGCAGACATGGCTGTAGGTTTACTAACGTTCTAACCAACCTTTCGTTTGTTCTCCCCAGATCAAGATTATTGAATTGCCCAGTAAGAAACCAGTCTGCACCCTGATACCGGACTCAAAGCTGGGAATGGTCATGTGCATAAAACTGTGGAAGGTAAGTTGTCCAGGTAGCTCTCAAGTGTCATGATTACAAATCTGAAGCCTACATTCACCCCAGAACAGAAGGTCCTTGTCTCTCCATGCATCTGTCAAGTTCTGCTGGTTCCTTTTTTACAGCAAACTAATTCCCACTAGTTTCCTTTTTTGGCCTGCTGTCTTCTGATTGGCCATCCTCACACAATTAGATGTTATAATAGACAAATCAACATAAAAGCACATGTGAGAGGCGGCATGTGATTTACAGCCCAACAACTCATCTCGGGCCATTTTTCCACGAGTTTCTTCTCAACTGGCAGCGAGTCCCAACACTGTAATTAGAGCGTTTGGAAAGGCCGTGGGTTCACAGCCATATATCAGCCTGCAGCTGTATATCCAATCTGATCTGGGCAAAAAGTTAGCTTTCTGTCCTGTGCATGCTGTTGAAAGTTTTATTTTCCACCCAATAATACAACCATGTAATTATTTTCATAGTTAATAATTAAGCTTTTGGGTTCGGAGGACAGTGGGCAGGGACTGATTTTATTTTTTTTTCCAATATATTTTACGAGCTGTTTAGTTTACATGCAACAAAAGTCCAAACGCAGATTATCATGTTGAAACTAGAGTCAGGAACGCTGCCAGCTCTGCTCCTGTCAGACTAATGCAAGAACTGAAAGGGTGGCACAGCGTTGGAAATGTAGTTATAAGGCATGTTGACAAGTTAGAGTCCCGCAGTGTGCAGACATTGTGTTTTTATTGTTTCACAGTGATTATCCTGCTGCGCCCACCTTTCATCATCTGATTTATGAACCAATGCTGACTCAGTGTTGAGTGCCAGGAAACCAAATGATCAATTATAGCAGCATAAGTTATATAATATTATTGTTCCACAGCACAGACAGCTGTCTGAGTTCAAAGCTGCTCAGGTGACTGTAAATAATTTCTTGCCGATTCCTTTTAAAGCAGAGGCGTTCTCTGTGTGTGTAGAGGTCCGAACTCCAGGAAATGACTGAAAATGTAAATTTATAAATGTATACAAATCCCTCTTTCGCTCTCTAATTCACGTATTTTGTCAGTCAGAAGAAAACTGAATTGTGTTCACATGAAATGCTCGTGCAGCCACCACTTCCTTCTGCCCACACAGCTGGAGGCAGCAGCTGACACCACTGTCCCCGCGCTCCACCCCATATCCCTGTCACACATGCTCCAGGAAGAAGCCACCGACAATTATCTTTATTCCTGCTGTCCCACGTCTTCTTAACTTTGCAGAGCATAGATGAAATGAAATGTGATTCTCCTTCTTTAATTTATAAACAGACCAAACAACAGATATTACACCAGCTTTTGTTTTGCTTTATTCCCTCTCTGGACAAATCCTCACTCGTCATGGCTTTTTATTGAATTCCTTCTCATCTGATCGACTGTAAAGCGGCGAGGAGGAACAAAGTGCCCCCACATGTGGGTTAGACTTGTGCGAGGACGTGGGGCTTGGCCTGGGGGACGGTGGTGATCTATGATGTTCAGGGCTTTTAATGTGAACGGAGGCCGGCTGGGAAAAGGAAATGCTCCTACACAGATATCCATCACTCTGAGCTCATCACCTTGCTGCCTCGTGGCCATGACATCATGGAGGGACCAGGACGACGACCCAATGAAACGATTGCTTCCTGATGTTGAAGCCTGAGGCCTGTGATGGACGCACCAGCAACAAGGCAGCTCGTCTCAGGCTTGCAGCAGGACTTTTTTTTTTACTTATACCGGTACTTTTACCTGGATATCCTCATGCATGCTCAATAATCCAGGTAGAAAATCTAAAAAAAAGTTTATTCAGGTCCTCTGGATGGATTCCGAGTCTGATGAAGTCTTTTGGATTAAAGACGAAACGTTGCAACAAGTTTTTTTGTTAGTCTGTCCCGAGGACCTGACAACTTTTTTTTAGTTTCGTCTGGATACTTAAGATTTTTATTTAATTGTATTTTTTTTTTTTTTTTTTTTTTTGTATTTGGTTGCTTAGAGTAGAGAGGTTTACTTTGCCCCCAAAGAAGTGATAAAAGTCAACTACAGTATATCTGATGCCCAAAGAACATCAAGACACCCGTCATTCACACTAGGGCTGGACGATATGGCCAAAACTTTTATCATGATATATTTCTTAATTTTGATCAGTAACGATATAATTCTGATATCGATATAAACAATATAAAAGCCTCAGAAACACTGTACAAATAAATTAATGTTCACCTTTTATTTGTATTTAGCCTTCAAAGAAATTTGAAATCACCATCAAATAAACATAAAACTCTCAACTTTGTCAATATTAATAGTTTTAACTTTAAACAAGAACATAACCCTAACGTTTGCTGCATGTGTTTCTCTTTTGATACAGCTGGGGGTGTAGTTTCAGGGACACGTTGGTTCAAACTTTTATTGTGTTTCATCTTCTGGCTCTCAGCGTATTCTATCGAGTGGAACAAGTTCGATGTGTTCCCACCACTAGTTGGAACGACTCTCCGTCACATTTTGCAGCACACTGACTGAAACCTGCAGTTTATCGGATCTTGGATAACCGAACCACTTCCACACTTATCAATCATGTCATGTGCTTTCTCTTCACTTGTGAAAGCTTGTTCAGTCACATTCTGACGGTCACCGGCACTCGTTTTGACGCAAAAACTTACCGCGCGTTGGAGTTTAGCCTAGCCCGCTGACTCCTTGGAGCTGTGGTGTACATCACCATGCACTTATGTAGTTGTGGCGCATCTTTTTCTGTTTGGGTTCAATCCAACAATTTACTGAAGGCCGAAAAAACTGGAAATTATTTTAACTTTCACCAAAGAGCATGACTGACCATCTCTGGATTAAGTTCAATTAAGAAAACTGACAGAACTTGTCAAAGGGAACACACCAGTAGCTTGCTACAAAACAAAATGGCTGCAGCTGCTCAACATCTGTGCATCAAGTCAAATAATACACTTGTGCTAAATAACAACAAATGATGTGTATTAACCCAAAATGCAAAAATCAAACGTTTGATCTTATAATATTTACGTCTTTACATCAGGTTTGACAATTATAAGATTATTATCTGATAAGGATAAAATGGCCGCGCTCTCCTGTAGTTGCAGCTTCGTGCACTCCGCCCATCTTTCGGACGACTGTACGTACATATTCGCGTTGTACCTCGGTGCAATTCCAATAAAGTTTATTCTGATTCTGATTCTGTTAGGCATCACAGGATGTGTTTATTTGTTCGTTCATTCGTTTGTTTGTTCATTTATTCATTTATTTATTTATTTTCCACATCAAAAGTTGACCCCTGAAAAGTGTGATCTGAAAACTTTGGCCCTTTGAGCAAGTCTTGTGGTGACCCATGTCATAGACAACAACAAACCAACCAGGAACACCAGCAGACGAGCGCTGCAGCGTTCTGTGGGATTTAAACTGGACTTCAAATGGATTCAACTTTATTAGAGGACTAATTTTTTGCATAAGAGTATTAAAATAAAATGGAGATCAAATGCATAAAAATAACATGGTGATCAAATGCTTGATGCACAGGGACCCTGTGTACATGATTTCGTTCCACCACATGTACCACATGGGGTGCGAACGACAAATAAAGAACCATGAATCCTTGAGTTATGTACAAAACCAGTTAGAAGTTTGTTTAGGAGTGTCTAGCATGTACACACTATGTGCTTTACCAAACTGCAGCAGACGACCACTTGACTAACTTGACCCAGACTAGTTGTGTTTGTAGTAAAGGAAGTTCCTCCACTGGTTCATCTCTGTGCAGCTTCCAGTCGTCCGTCTTTCCAGCTGGTCCTCCGTGATGAATCTCCTCCCAGTGCCCCAGCTCCACTCCAGCAGAGAGCCCTCTTGTAGAAATGCCTGTGGAGGATATAATGAATTAGGTGTCTACCCAGGGTTCCCTGACCTCCGACCCATGACATCATCAATCAAGGAGGTCCTTCACTTAAGTGAAACGCTGGGCCCCAATCTGGAACGCTTAGCTCGGTCCCTGCCGGCAAGCAGGGGGCCGCTGATTTTCACTTGTTTTTATTTGTTTTCATAATCCCTCAGTGTTCGTCCTCGCTGATGTGTTTGGAAGGAATACACGACTCTGTCTATAATTTGTTTAAAGCTGTAAGAAGAAAAATACAGAGCGTTAACAGAGGAGAAGACTTGACCGGAGATGAAAAATGGCGAGCGCGGCCTTTGTGCACATATGGAAAAAATTTCTCTCCCTCCTCGCTTCTGCCTGGCACTGTGACGTTACTGTGAAAGCAAAGAGCTGGTGCACGAGCATGTCTCCACGCACGCCTTGATCTTCTCAACTGTGTGACCATCACTTCAGAATTTAGATTTGGGTCAAAGATCAGCCAAAAATATATTTGTTTGTGTTTTATAAAATAAAAAACGTGTTCTGATTGGATGTGCACGTTTTTAACATCAGTAAATGAGGATCTGCTGGATGATCTCATCAGATATTTCTCAGTTCTTCATTTTGTCTCGTCTCACCTCCAACCGTACAAAAATAAACTAAACTCCTACGTTTTTGTCAGGACATGTTTATTTTTATTCACAAGTTTCATTGCTAAGCTCAGCGTTCCCTCAGCACAGATTATGGAGCTGTGTGATCACACAGTTGTGAGGAGGACGTCTGAGCGCAGAGAGTCCTGCAGACTAAAACACAACTTTATCATTTTAAACTGTGCAACATTTGTTCTTTTAACGGACCACGTTGAGTTCTGGGCTGGTTTTCTTGGTACATGTAACAGAAGTGATTTAACTGATGTGTATTTGTGCTGCTCTTTTTCTTAGATTTAAATTCAATTCAGTGTATTTATATAGTGCCCGGTCACAACAGAAGTCGTCTCAGGACACTGGACAGAAACATTCATATATAAAAATAATAATACTGCTTTGAGCCTAACTTCACTGCAGATGTGTTCACCAGTCATTGTGAACACATGCTGAGGTGAAAACGTGTGATTTTGTCAGTGGGGTTGTGAGTTTGTGTGATGATTGTTGATTAAAAGCTGTTTCTCTTCCTGTGCATCACTGAAAATGCACAAATGTCTTCTAGTGCTGTGTTTTAATCATAAGGTCTTGCCATTATTGCAACACGACGGCTCAGTGGTTAGCACTGTTGCCTCACCTCAAGAAGGTCCTGGGTTTAATTCCCAGTTTGACCTGGGGTCTTTCTGGGTGGAGTTTGCATGTTCTTCTTGTGCTTGCGTGGGTTTTCTCCGGGTACTCCGGTTTCCTCCCACAGAACAAAAACATGCATGTTATTCTGCCTTCAGGCCTCCGTTGCAAAAGAGATCTGTGATCTCAGTGGGATTTGCCTGGTTAAATAAAGGTTAATAAATAAATAATAATTATTGTTGGTTTTTTTAACTTTTTTGTTGTTTTTAAAACACATTAACAACTACAAAAATATATTTTTGAATCCTTCTGTTTTCAATTCAAAGTTTCCAACGTGAGTTATGTTTAATATTTCATCCAAACAAGTCCAGGAAGACATTGTGAAGCGATCACATTTCAAAAAGAAAGAAAAACGTTTGTTTGCTGCAATTCTGGACATCAGAACAAGTGAAAACATGATCAATGTAAATCTGCATCAGTAAAGAGCAACATAATGAGTTTTGACGTGATTTTCTTTCCATATTGTGCAGACTCTATAGTCTGCAGCTCAGGAATATAGATGAGGAGTAAAGTGAGGGGAGGTGTAATGTGTTCTGGACAGAGGGAGCAACCGGCTGACGAATGGAGCCCACAGCGTCTCCTGAGTGTCAGCGGGAGCTTCCAGGATGATAACCTCTGCTCCTCTCAGCTTCCAGCACCAAACAGCGGTTTCTGTGGCATTTACAGCTCAGCTCTCATGTCTCTTCTCCTCCTTTTAACGGTCCCTCTTCCCATCCTGCTGTCCCTCCTCCTTCCTGTCATTCTCCTCTCCTTCCAGCCAGACTCGGGTATCGGACCTCTCCTGTTGGCTGGATACGAGGATGGTTCCTTGCTGCTGTGGGACGTAACCCAGAGGTCTGTGCTGAGCCAAGTCAGAGCCCACCCTGAGCCTGTCATGTGCCTGACCTTTGACCCGAAGCATCTGAGGGGCATATCGGGCTCCTCTGAGAAGAATCTCTCCTCCTGGATGCTGGACAGCCAGAACAACATACAGGTTAGCAGGTTTAGCTGCACATCAGCTGACCTCATCATTTCTCTGTTGCTTTCAGCCATTGTTCCTTTTGTAGTGACTAATATGCATAAATGTATGATTAACTGTTTAATAATCAATTCAGTTTATTTATATAGCACCAAGTCACAACAGAAGTCATCCCAGGATACTGAACAGAAACATTCATATATAAAAATAATAATTTAACACCATTTATCTGAGGAGCAGACTTTGAATTTAACTCCATACAACACTATTCAAACTTGGCTCTAATGAAAGTGTTCCAGGTTTGCATTTTCAGTCTTAAATATTATCTATTTTAAGTTCAAGAAAACAACTACAAATGTAGCCCAAGTAGAAAATGTTCTTTTTTATATATATATTTTATACATGTTTGCTTTGAACAAGTTATTTGAGCAGCCAAACAAACGTGCTGGCTACACAAGTGTGTGTGTTTTAAGTCCTGAGCATCCCTGCCTGCTAACTGATTGTTGCACAATAAACTAAATCCCAAGAAATGAAATAAAAGCTAATAGAGGAGATGGGAGACGAGGAGTGTTGGTTTTCATCAGACTCGCTTGGAAAACATTAGGGGCCGAGGAGGAAGAGGCTCAGTGGGGCTCCAGGGGCCATAAATCAGCTGCTGGTTACACAGTGTTGGCAGGACTCGGGGCCAAGGGCCAGACTGGAGCTGTCACTCTAAAGTCAAACCACCCACATACACACAGACACAACAGACCTTGTTTGTATTTTCAAAAGTACCAGTGATTATCCTTTAGAAAATAAGTATTTTTACAGTTTTGAAAGGGAATGTATACCTTTAATTTTATTTTTGATTTGCTGTAAAATAAAAATATTTACCATCATATTTCTTCTGACTAATTGTTAAACATATAATCATTTTAACTTGTATTTTCCTAAAGGAATATATATCACTCACCGCCATTAATGTCCGAGATTATCTTGAGATTTAGAAAATATAGAGTTGTAGCCATTTTGGTCAAACCTTGAAAATAATCGATTCTTTTGTTTCACTCATTTTTTTTAAAGTTCAAACATCAATCGTTTCATTAATGATCAAACATCAATTGTTTCTTTAAATATCAAAGAGCAATCATTTCATTAATGATCAAACATAAATTTTATTCTTAAAGATCAAAGATCAGTTGTTTCCTTAAAGATCAACTGTTTAATTAATTATCAAACATCAATTGTTTCTTTAAAGATCAAACATTAATTGTTTCTTTAAAGATCAATTATCAATCGTTTCTTGAAACATCAAAGATCAGTTGTTACCTTAAAGATCAATTGTTATTTAACGATCAAAAGTTTATTTAATTATCAAAGATCAATTGTTTATTTAAAGATCAATTGTTTATTTAAAGAACACTTATTACCTTAAAGATAAACTGTTTATTTAATTATCAAACATAGTTTCTTTAAAGATCAAACATCAATAGTTTCTTTAAAGATCCAACATCAGTTGTTTATTTAAAGATCAAAGATCATTTGTTTCTTTAAAGATCAAACATCAATAGTTTCTTTAAAGATCCAACATCAGTTATGTATTTAAAGATCAAAGATCAATTGTTTATTTAAAGATAAATTGTTTATTTAAAGATCAATTGTTTATTTAAAGATCAATTGTTTATTTAAAGACCAATTATTTATTTAAAGATCAATTGTTTATTTAAAGATCAATTGTTTATTTAAAGACCAATTATTTATTTAAAGATCAATTGTTTATTTAAAGATCAATCGTTACCTTAAAGATCAACTCTTTATTTAATTATCAAACATAAATCATTTCTTTAATCGGTTCTTCTCATCCTGAGCATTTCATTGCATTGCTGACCTTGTGTTCATCTGCATATGACAAATAAACAACAACAACAAAATAACATTGTGCAGAATCTCATTCAACACTGAGAGGTTGTGCTCAGCATCTATGTCGTACATCACTCTCAGCTACTACCGCATCAAATTTTAGCTCATTATTGTAAAACTGTCTAAGACTTTTTTGTGTTCACTATCTGTGGCAGCCATCTTGAATTGGATTGACATCAATATCTGCAAGTTTTAATAAAAACTTTTCAGTGGTTTATGAGATATTTTAGTAACATACACACACAGAGACAAGGGTTAAAACATTTAAAGCATAAAAAAAACATTAAATATATAGTTTTTACTGACATCTGCAGTTTCAAGTCTTCCTATACGCTGCAGCTCCACTTCAAGATCAGCTTTGCTCCATAATTCATTTGACACAACAGCCAATGCTTCAGAGACTTAATGCCTCATTTGAAGCTATATTTTCTCTTGATTTCATGAGCAAAATGGAACGCTCCCATTTTTCAGCCGGCCCTCATGAATCAGAGCCAAGGGGAACCTTCGGCTGATATAGTATACTCCAGCACAGTGAAGGGGTATTATTCTTTCCAGGGATTTTTACAAATGAACGCTTGAATTAGAAATATTTCCAGAGTTCCATTTTCTCACCCCAAATGTGTGTCTGGACAAACACGGCCGAGGATTTCATTCGACGCACTGTAAACAGGAGGAGCGCGGTTATTCGGTTTATTTTGCTCGAGCAACAAAATATTGATTCAGCGTGTAATCCAGGATGAGGATGACAGGAAAAAAGCACAAGGAGAAGGAAAGGATCCAGTGGGGGCTTTTAAATTATTCTGAAGTGCATCTCAGTGTGACGTCCAGACAGCTATTCTCGGTACTTCCCACAAAAGTATTTTTGTGTGGCCGGAGTGAGGGGGCGGGCAATGGGGGGGGGGGGGGGACCTGCCGGGTGGCAGACTCGGGCTTTGGGTTCTGACGGACGACCTGTGAGAGGTAATAAAAATATCAAAACCTTGGAGGCCCCAAAGCCAAACAAAAAACACATCTGCTGTAACGGGAACAGTAGTTCACAGTGGGAGGCTGCAATAAAGACGGAGGAGACTGTAAGTGCCACAGCACCCCACCCCCCACAAATTACCCCCGCGCTACAGTTCAGTGCAGTGGAACCGGCTGGCAGGGCAGATGGATAGTTTTTGTTCAATTGAGGGGAAACTGAATATGACACAACACAGCACAGTTATGATTTAATGAAGCCAAGGGAAGCTTATCTAGGCCAGATAAAGACAGATAGCCACAGGAATGGAGCTTAATGTATTACACATGTCTCCACGAGGCTTTTATCTGCTGAGTGACCCCCATGGCCCGAGCTCTTTCATAGTAACGAGGCGTCGTCTTCAGCGCTGCTTTCCTTCCAGCGTACATTTTTGGAGATGTGTCAGAATGGGACCACGAGGGCGTGGCCGCTGGGCTTTACAAGCTGCTAAGCCACATGAGCATGCGCTTGGGTAGCTGCTCGGACGCACTGACAGGTGCAGTGATGGGTTTCTTTAGGGGAGAAAGGAGGCAGAGGTTGTGGCCTGCAGAAAGAGCAAGCGGGTATCAACACAGGAAGATTAGCTGTGTAAATCAAGCATGGCTGACAGTAAGCTATTTCACATGACATTTCTGTCCAGGTGGAAGTCCTGCTCGTCGTCTCCGTCATGTAAAGATGACCCCTCTCTGAAGCCACCTGCATGATTATATGTCCAAATAATGTTCATAAACTGGTCAGCTGATACCCTTTGTGGTCACATCAGACCCATCTTAAACCCAATAATAACTTGGATTATTCAAACTCAGGCACATGTGCAGCTTCCTCCCGTCACCCGTCCTCTCCTCTGAATGGGGCCGCTCACCTGTTTGACACATCCACATCACGTCGGCCAGAGTCGAGCTCTAACAGACAAAGTGACAAAAGGCTGTAATCTCCTCGCTGCCGAGTGTGGTTCTGGGCCGGGGTGTGTCAGAAATACCTGTGAAAAGCCTCGCAGCCGCTAGGCTCGAGTGAGTGAGCGATGACGGGATGTTTCAGTGCAGCGGCGCGAACAACAAGACTTGTGCCAAGACTGAGAGAGAGAAGTGGAGCAGAGCTTGAGTGAAGCCTGCCAAGTGGAGGCTTCCTTTCTGTTTTGGTGACGAATGTGACGAAAAGAGGAAACTGGAAGTCTCATGGAACCAGTAGTACCAACGTGATGGCTGAGAGAGGTGACATTTACAAAGGAAAACCTTTTAGTGTCAGCTTGGTGCATCAAGGCAATGAAGAAGGTCCCCCCCCCC